GAAGCTCATCACCAGTCTCCAACTTCAATGTCCATTCCTCCATTGACTAAGGGACACGCGTGAATGGGTACTACACCGATATACTGGTCGACTGGATTATCCAATTCATCTGTGCACTCGTCATTCCACTTCATCTTCATTCACTCTATCCTTTGGAGATGACTGGAGTCGATTCCAGACGACACATTCCATTTAGCGGAGAAAGATGACTGGATGACTGACCGACTTACTGCATGATTCATTCGACTGACTTCCAGGTGCGTTGATTGGTGGTGGCATGCAGTCACCGAATTCTGTCCACTGGCTTCGATGTGTGCGTGTCGGTGGGTGCTATCCTATGTTGGTGCAAAGGGACAATGAGTAGGTTGAATGATGATATCAGGTGGATGGACGGAATACGATGTTCATAGGAGAGATGAATCGATTTGTCAGAGTGTATGACTGAGTGGAATGGGATGTTGTGGTGAAGTGGTTAAGCATGTTGGTGTTAGTGTGACAATGTGTCTGTATGTGTGTGTCTGTGTGCATTGGTCCGTGAGTGGATGCGTCCTATTTTTTGTGTGTGCGTATGTTGTTCGAGTCGGCGTTGTGATGATTGGTGTCGAGGTTGTGGTGTGTTATGGTCACTCCGCTTGTCGGTGTATTTTTTTTCAGTTGTGTTTGTCAGGCATTTTCAGACGCTTGATCGATGGAGAATGTGACAGGTGTAATCTGGAGGGAGAGGAGTTCTCGTTGCATTGTTGGTGGTTGAAAGATTTGTGTATCTGTTGGCGTGCATGTGTATATTGACAGGGTTTGTGAAGTGTATGTGTGAAAGTGACCGATCGATCATCTGTGAATGGGTTAGAGCGGAATTCAGACTGTCTGGCGGACTGGTCGATTGCATTGTGCACGTGTGACTATTTGCCTTTCGTCGTATTGGATCGTGAAATGCTTACATTTTTTTGTATCTTTTTGTTTTATATTTGTTCATTTTAGTTTTTGATTGTTATTGTTAATATAGCTTTTAATATTAATTTTTTTTGGATTTACAAACTTTTTCGATTGGTTTCATCTGTCGTTTTTTGTATTTGAGTGTTGTCCCGATTGTGTGGATCTTCAGTATCTTTATATGTTATTAGGTGTATTTTTCTCTGATTTCCTGTGAATAATGCTAACGTAAATGAGACTTCTTCATATTACTTTGTTAGATTTCGTTTTTGTGAAATTCGGCTTAATAGAACAATCTCCCATGGCATAATACCGTATTTAGAATATAAGAGGTGATGATACGGATGCATCACCCACGGTATTATTGTTGGAACGGGAATCGAACACATGATCAATTGGCTCAAAACGAAGCCGAAATTCATCAAAGGAGATTATTGAGCAAGATTCGAATAACATCGTTTACCGCAGCTTCACATCTCCCAATCTCTACTCAACCTCTTATTTATCAAATATCAAAGGCAATGCTCCATTGTCGGGTACAACCATGTGCATATATCAATTGACTAGCCCCTACGGGGCAAGAACATCTTCGAATATGATAGTCGAGAGAAGAAATTAACCGAACCAATAGAGCAATTCCTAAGCTCATTGTCCTCAAAATTCATTCAATAGAAAAATCTTTCAAAGTGATAAGGTAAGGCTACGCCTTTCGAAAGATTTCTGACTGCATCTTCTGTCGACAGCAGTTCTTTCTATATACACAAGAAACCCTGAAGTACGTATACAGGTGTGGTTTATCCGGTCCCATTTCACTATCGTGGCCTCAAACTATACTTTCTTCAACTCATGTAATAATTTGGTTTTGTCTAATTGAGCTTTTCATTTTTTAATGGCAACCACTTCTGAATGTTCATCGCTTCTGGTTTTTAGATTACGCAACCTGTTATTTTGCTTGATATGTACTTTCATGTCTTGTTAGTAATTGATATAAACAATTGACCTTTTAGGCATTTACCTGACCTTTACTATTATCCCCCTGGGTTCCAAGTGAAACATACGGCTTCAACAACATATCTCCACTTTCTTCTATTTTCTGCTGTCCTCTTCAACTGGTTGACCCCACGATTGCTCATAATCTCTTATCTACTCCTCCACAACACATGATCTCCTCCGTATTACCCTCGAACCAAACCCAACTCGTCGCTTCTCATTCGGATTCACCTAGCGCGATGGCCTACATTGCGCGCCATGTCATTCGACGGCCTCCTCAGTGTATGCCCGATTCATCACCATTTTCTCCTACATATTTATTGAGTAATCGCCTGTTGGTTTGTTTGTTGCCAGTCACAGTATCTTGTTACTAATTCTTTCCGGTCAGCCATTTGATCTTCAGTATGGAGCCAGCCAGCCAGCGAAGTGGATGGCTGTCAGGTCTAACTGTACAGCTTTAAAGTGAAGTAACGGAAAGAATATTCTTCGCTGACCCGTGTCCCTCTGATTCATGTCACATGGATTTTTTTTTCTCATAATTTAAAGACATGCAAGTGTTCACCGTGGATGATTTATGTCTAATAGCGTCACACTAAGTCGAAGACTAACAGGTGAAAAACGACAAATTGGCTAAGGAAGCGGTGAGGTCAGGAATTGAAGTGAAAATAAGGAAGATAACCAACAACAACCACTATTAACCGGAGGAATTCATAGGAGATCCCTTTCTTCACTTATCTACGCAGCATCGTTCCAACTACAGGCAGTAGGAAACAGAATCGGGAAGCCAATGTAGACCTTAATCACTCAAATCAGAATAGAAATAGGCATTTAGCAGAAAAAACAAATGTCAAGTCAGCTCTTCCATATGGATCAGACATTTGACAAGTCGCAAAAGGCATTTCCCAACAGGCTACTGTACACTTTTATCAGTAGCTGCCCTCGCTGGCTTCCATATTGAAGATCAGATAGAGGGCTAGAAAAGATTAACGACAAGGAACCTATCGCCCAACAAATATGCCGTAAGAGATGAATAGGACACACGTTGAGGAGACTGTTGGTTGACATTTAGTACCAAGCCCTTGAGTGGCGCGTAACTCCGAGGGTGATATAAAGGAAGACATGACCGACTATGAGGCCAGATAAAGAGGACTGCAGCACAAAGGACAAAATGGAGACGTGCTGTTGAAGCTCTATGTTCCACTCGAAAACAATAAATAATAGTAAGTGTTCGTTGACAGTGAAGCAATCAAATCGTCTTTCAAACTTACTGAAGCCAAGTTTAAGATTTCTTCTCTGAAGGGCTGTATCACGAATCACAGTAATCCGAAATATTTCAGAAAAAATCCTCGCAGAGGTCAAATGCATCCACACCGGAGGACTGTAAAACCTCATTGATGACCTACACACATGTGAGTATTCATCACTTTGGAAGACAACATAAATCCGAAACTGCGCTCACTTGACGAGTTATCTATTAATGAACAGACAGAACAGAATTCGAAAATTATATCTGCAACAACCACTGAAAAACGTCAAGCAGAAACTTCTGTATGCTGTCGAAAACCAGTTGAATCCCCTGCGAAATTCTCCAACTAAACCCAGAGGAGAATCAAGTATGGGCTTGTAGGGATTTGATTGATTGGTTACAGGATTTCATCATGAGCTGACATTGGTTAGAGAACCATTGGGAAAACCAGCTGAGAGTACTGGACAGCTGTTTCGTCCTAGTTTGAGACTCTTCATCATTGTGCGCCCACCGCCACGGGGTTCGGAACCCAGGACCTGCTGGTTACAAGGCTAGCAAGCTCGTAGACCATTCATCAGTCACTGGGATCCGATTCAATGGTGGTCGCCGGCGACGACTTCTCAGTGGCTGATGAATGGTCTACGAGCTCACTAGCCTTGTAATCAGGTCTTGGGTTCGAGCCCCGCAGTGTGGGTGCGTACTGGTGAAGAGTCCCAAACTAGGCTAACGAAACAGCTGTCCCGTACTCCCTTCAAGTTTTCCAATGGTTCTCTAACCAATGTCAGCTCATGATGAAATCCTATAATAAACTCAGAGGAGTTTTGCTTTTAACTACTTCAGTGAGACAGCCCCATACATACAGGCTTTAGCATCATCACTTGGCACTAAAATTTTGTCATCAAAACCGATTGGCCAAATCAAGAAGTCCCATTTCCAGAGGTTTGAATTCCAGTTTAAGTTTCTTATGTGCCAGGGCCCATGTTACTTATTATAGTTCCATCGAGTTCCGAGTGAAACACAAAGCTTCAACAGCAGATCTCCATTTAGTTCAGTCCTCTGCAACCGTTGTCGTCTTCAGCTAGTTCCACAATTTCCTGTAAGCTTTCATTTCCTCCTCTTCCTCCATGTCATTCTCCTGCGATGTCACCCAATCTTATAGGCTTATATGACTGGAGAGCAAGAGATTCAACCTCGGCACCTAACTGTTGACATTGTCGAGTACTAACGGTAAAGATGAAGGCGATATACACACCTCCGCGAAAATTCCCACAGTGTTTATCATACACCACAATCAATCAAGAATATACAAAAAAACACATTGATACGAATTAATTGAGGAAAAATAGAGGAAGAGACAGGCGGATAAGGATTTCATTAAACCATTAATAATCTTTGGAGGGGGAGGGGGTTCTTTTTGTACACAAGGATATGATGCCATCAAAAATAGTTGTAAACAAAAGTATTTTCAGTGTTTTTCTGCATTACTTGTTAAATAAATGAATAAGGACACACACATACACACACACACAGAAACAGAGAGGAACATTTCAAGTAATCACATATGTATTGAATACAATTCAAACAAATTAATTTAGTGTAAAAAGCAGGTGAGATTGAGAACAACGGGAGTAGGAACATAATTGTACACACACACACACACATAAAGACACAGAAAGAGGCTTGCCTATTTACATCAATATTTTCTGAGAAATGATAAATTATTTATGAAATGAAAACAACATTAGGAACAAATAAGGATAATAATAGAAACCACATTTACACACAAATACACACACACACACAAACATTCAAAATCAAATAAGGTGAAACAATTTTAAAGCACATAATCCGCCTTAGAAATCTCTTGTCCAGTACTTAAATAAGCGCATAAATAATCTATGCGTAGCCATGAATATTCACGAGGTAGTGCATTATTGTTATTAGCAGTATTGGTAGTGGAGTTATTACGAGGTTTGAAAAAGGCATGTGTAACTTCAGAAGCAAGAGGGAATGGTGGATTGTTTGCCAATACCTAGAGAAAGGAGAAGGGAAGAAAATTTTTTTGAAAAAATGTTAATAAAAACAAAGATTCAAGTAAAAAGGAAGTAAGTTCGAATCTCAGAAGGGAGATGAGTTCCTTCAGGGTTGCAGATGCACCGCCTTGCTGACTTGTGAATGCCGACTAGCACGAAACATAGGTCCAACGAGGGCTTCCTGTGGCCGATCGCCCCCAATTATCTAATATCGTCAAATCAGTGTGCACCGTGATGGCGAGCTATGTAGTGGCATGGTGGCCGCATTCCAAGCTTGACTGACAGAATTCAGTCTGCACCAAAGAAAGGACTAGACACGTCACACTAGCTACTGGTGTCCAACCAAAATACCCACTACAGTCCTACAGGCGGTCAATCGTGAGCCCGAATAGCTCAGTGGTAACGTCTCTGAATGCATTACTCACTGGGTAACACGGGTTCGAATCTCAGAAGGGACATGAGTTCCTACAGGGTTGCAGATACACCTTGCTGACTGGTGAGTGCCAGCTAGCACAAAACCTAGGTCCAAGGAGGGCTTCCTGTGGCTGATTGCCTAAGAGTATCTAGTAAGTAACCCTGTTTAATATTGTGGTGAGAGCTGGCTACTAGCCAAAATTGGTAGACAGTATTTTATGTCAATGTTTATGTCCCCAATATTGGTCGTGAGAAAAATAAGAACAAAAACTTTGCGTAGGCGGATACAGTTAGTTAGCATATAGATGATCTGACATTCAAGAAACAGTCACAAAGAGATGAAAGATAAACTTTCAGTGTGCGTTGGTGGCACAGTGGTTAGGACTCTCGCCGACCATACACATGGTGCAAGGTTCGAACCCCTGCCGACGCATCCCTGATATCTATGGTCGGCCTGCAAAATTTGGGTTACCGATATCATATGCGGAAAATTCCATACTTGTACCAAAAATACAGTATGGAATCAAGCTGTAAATCGAAAAAACAACAACAAACCAATCAGAAGACTGTTTTTCTGCTAACAATAATCTATAATAATGTACTTGAAAATCTATAAATATGTGTTGATTTCCTTAATAAACGATCTGTTGCCTGGCCTTTGTCTTCTATTGTTACAATATCACAGTAAGTTTATGTTACACTGGTAACGACAGAAGACAAGGGCCAGGCAACAAATCATTTATTGCAAAAATCAAGAGGTATTAGAGATTTTTATGCATACTATTGTTAGCCGAGAAGCAACCTTTTGTGATTGGTTGTTTTCCTGTTGAAGGTTAATTCTGTTATCTCTTTGTAGCTGTTTCTCAGAAAGTTAAGCTATTTATCTGCGAATCATATATCCACACGTTAATTCCGTTGTGATTGGCTGGTGATTTTCTCAAGTTTAGGCTTTGTTATTGTTTTTCTCATGACCCTGATTCGGGACGTGAACAGTGACGTAAATTGTTGTCTACAATTTTTGGCTTTCAGTCAGCTTTCATCACAACATAACCACGCAATATTTTACGGTTGATAAGACAATGAACTCCCCACCACGCAATAGTGTTATGAAAGTGATGTGTTGAAATCATCTTCAAACTGACATATTACAAAAAGTGAATGCATCTCCACTGTCATTGAGAACGATTTCTAGCCGTATCACCAATTGTCTGCAGACCAAGAAGCCAAATACCTCCTTACTTGGCTCAAACTCAACTGTTAAGGATTTCATGAAGTGATTCCAAGTTCTAGTTTGAACACTTGCTCTTTAGAATGAGAATGCACAATTGAAAATGAAATAACATACTCCAAATTTAAACAAAATCGTTAGCATTTATTCAGGCATGAAACCATATGTGCTTAAGCTTTATGCTGGCTAGCAAAGACGCCCTGACATAAAGACCATAGACTGTCAGTGCGATGACTGTGTATACTTGTGCGTCATCTACTCTCATCCTCTGATTACTACACACATTTGAGGTTCAAATTAATTTACCATTGTTTTTTCTTTTGAAATTATTACTTTGAATAGTTTATCAGTGTGATTTCTTCATCAGAACTTCAAATAAGACCTCAAGTAAATAGTCTTTAGAAAACAGAATAAAATGAATATGTTAGTCAATAATCACTTGGTGTTTACACACACACACACACACACACAGGCACATCTGGTAACGAGTCACCGCCACCACCAAAATATTAGTAAGTGGGACCAGGATCAGATTTGTGATCCAGTGGTAGGTGGTAATTGAGACATATAGCTCTGGATTTTCCGACAAAAAACAAGCAACACTAATTCTAATTTCAACCAACTTACTTCACATACACACACGCACACTACTGCATAGTCCCTAGTATGTGTATTTTTTCTTCATGAAGTATTTCGTTCTTTATATAACAATTGGGACCATAAAAATATACATGCTAAACTATATTGATTCGGTCAAATGGAGAGTCAGTCTGTTTTTGACATAGAACTTTGCACACATGTGCAGCAGTTCGAGTCGCCACACTCCCTCCATGCAGCAAACAAACCAAGAGAAGAAAGTAGAAGAAATGCATAATACAGACAGTAAACAGAGGTGTGAGACAAAGGAATAGTAATAACGAAGAACAATATAGTTTCATTGGAAATCATAAGTCATAATAAGCGGATGCATCTAACAGTGCCAGCCATCACTGAGAACGATTTTGAGCCATATCACCAATTGTTCCCAACCATTGGTTTTTACCGTCCCGAGGACCCCAACCAGTCAGGAAGTCTACACCTTCCTACGTGGCTAGCTTAAACTAACTGTTGTCGATTTCATTGACTAGTGCCATGTTTTGGTTTGACCACCGCTACCTCTTTTCCAGCCAGACCCTATGCCAGCTAACATTGCTCGTCAGTCGAAGAAGGTTATGGACTAGACATACGTGACACATGTCCTAACCAACTCAGTCGATGTAGCTTCACAGCCAACTCGTCGATTGGTTTTCTCCCTCCCCACCTACTTAGCACTCCACGCCTAACCTCAATATTGCTCACCCTATTATACCCCTTCACACAGGAGATAGAATGCACGCACCTATGATCAAAGACACCTAAATGGCCCTTTCATGTCTTCTACCCTCAATGGACAGGTCTTGCTCACAGCCATAAAGGAGGACGGAACAGATTGCTAAGTAGTAAACACTTCCTTTGGTCGATAGTTGGATATCACGTTTACGCCAGAGGCGGCGTAAACTGGCATGTGCGAAACTAGTCCTCTGTATCCGTGCTGAGATTTCGTCACAGATCAACCCGTTGGCTTTGGCTGCTGGTACTTCCCAAGTAAGTGAAGCGGTCAACGTGCTCTACCACTTCACTCCCGATTTCTAAACTAGGAGTCAGTGTAGTCCAGTCCTGCACCATCATCTTACATTTGACGGGAGCGAATCTCATGCCAAACATTCATAGATTGCAGTTCAAGGTGTTCAGAAGACTCTGCATTTTGTCAGCGTCCTTGCCTAGAAGAACTATATCTTCTGCATATTCCAAGTCAACGAGATTATTCCCTGGCAGCAAGTCAGTCCCGAAATCATACGTTAATGTTGACTGGATTCCAACAGTCAAGTTCTCAACAACAAGGACGAAATGTATGACACTGACTGCATCCTAGTGACCAACCAATCAGTGCTTCTGTTACAGTCTTATAGGAGATCAATCTTGAATTCAAACACAACACAATAGGTTAGAATCTTAGAGAGGACATCAGTTCCATGGAGGTTCCAGATACTTACACCTTGCTGGGGAATAGGCAACAAGCAAGAAATCTAGCCTCCAGAGATTCCTGCTGATCTAACATATATTGATATATAATGAAGATGACATATATTCACATTTATTGAGAAGGTGGCATTTATATGACAGACTGATTGGTTTCAACATAGAACTTTGCACAAATGTGCAGCAGTTCGAGTTGCCACCCCTTCCTCCTCCATGTACCCCACAAAGTAAGAGAAGAGAGTAAAGAGAGATTCAAAAGAGGGAGAGAAAGATAATAAACAGAAATATGAGGCAATAAAGGACAGTAATATGGAAGAACAGTAGAGCTTTATTGGATGTGATAAATCACAAAGAGTGAATGCATCTGCAACGGTCACTGAGAACGATATCTGAGCCATATCACCGTCCTGAAGACCCCAAACATTTAGCAAGTCTACACAGTCCTAGGCGGCTGGATGGCTTAAACTAACTGTTGTGGATTTCATTGAGTGATGAAGCCATCTTTTGGTTTGACCACCATGTGCTAGCTCTTTTCCAGCCTGACCCTATGTCAACTGCCATCGCCTGTTCCCAAGGAAGGCGATGGCTAGACATACCCAACATATGTCCTAACCATCTCAATCGGTGTAACTTCACAACCACCTCGTCTATTGATTCCCCCTCCCATCTACCTAGCACTCGACCGACGCCTAACTTAAATATTGCTCACCCTACTATAGCACATAACACGGGAGATAGAATCCAGGGGCACTTATATAAAAGATGATATACACACACGCATCAGAATCTTACCTTTCCACCGCCAGCTTCAATAACACGCCTGAAACTGCTTTCTTTATCACAACCAGGTCCAAAAATCACTTTCCAACCTTGAAATGCTTTACCACCAGCCAATCGCCAACGACGTGCAGATCTAGCTAAATCTCTAATTTGTGCAGCTTGTTGTTGCTGGGGTGTGAGTTTGACATTAGCACCGGGAAATGGAAATGGAGACAGTTGCATCAGAAGTGGTTCAGTACCAGGACCACCCCATTCAAAGGGAGTTTCATCAAGCCAACGTGATTCACGTGAACATGCATCTAAATAGGCTTTGTGTAACATCCATTTCCCGGTAGCAAGACATATAAGACATTTTTCACTTCTTGCTACAAAAGAAACAACAAAAAACAGATTTTTGTTCACAACAATATTCAACAACTCTATTGACAAGTATGAAAGAAAAAAAAGCTAACATTAACAACATAGGAAGAGGTGATAATTAGATGATGAATATCGTAGTGATATGTATCCACATGATGTGTGTGTTTTGTTTTTGACGGTCTATTATATTTTCTGCTATGTGTATATGGATCGATATTCCATTATAACTGACATTATGCTTTTGTCTGTCCATTAACTAAATAAACAATGTATGACCTTGTTGTCACATGACATTACAGCCAATCATGTTAAGACTGTCTATTTATTGGTTCATGTGTATTAGCCATTTTCATAATATACTTTTGCATTGTATACTTGTTCCCACGTTTCGTACACTACGACGTACCATTTCACCCACACTCTTGTATGACATTTATTTTCCTTGTCTGGAAAATACAACTATCATCGTAAACCTGGTGGTCTACTGATTTCCCTCTTTCAGCGTCAGGACTATTAACTACTCGACGAGTACATAACATAATTGGCGACGGGGAAAAGTCTAATAACTCACTCAGCAGCAGTACATAACACGTAGTTAACCCCACTTCATATTAATATAGCCTGGTCAAATAGACAGTAGGAAAGGAAGAATATAAGAGGATATTAGATAACATACAGTGTGTGTGTGTGTGTATCTTTATACTGCAATAACTGACTAAAGACTGATAGATGTGCATCGGTGGCACAGTGGTAGAGTGCTCACCGACCACTCAGGTGGTCCGGGGTTCGATCCCCAGCTACCGACACAATCCTTTACCTCACTAAGCCAGTAATAAGGCTGGTAAAGAGGAAAGGTTGAGGCTAGCAACCTCATCCTGTAAAAATAAATACCACTGCGACCGAAACTTCCCGCCTCTAGCTTGAAGCCTTTGTTATGTTCCACTGGAAACATAAAGGAATGAAAAGAGAAAAAAAGATGAGCTCAAGCCGCAGGAACAGGCCATTCATGTGATGATATTAGATGGTTGGAGGTAATCGACCACAGGAAGCCTTGCCAGGGTTTAGGTTTCGTGCTAGTTGGCACTTACTCAGCAGTCAGCAAGACGGAGTATCTGAAACCTTGAAGGAACTCATCTCCCTTCTGAGATTCGAACCCACATCACCCACAGTGCTGCAGATACGCCTTGCTGACTGGTGAGTGCCAACTAACACGAAATCTAGGTCGCGCAAGGCTTCCTGTGGCCGATTGCCTCCAACCATCTAATATCATCAAATCAGTGTGCACCATGATGGCGAGCTACTTAGAATGGTAGCCACATTATAAACCTGACAAATAGCATTCAGTCTTCACCAAAGAAAGGACCAGACACACCATACTAATTACTAGTGTCCAATCAAGGTCATTCATGTTCTACAAAAAAATGAGCCACACATATTGTGTGAGGGGCAATCAGACAACCCAACATGACAAGCTAAGGACACGTGCTATGCATGCCAAGCCATTGTATTCTTCGTCAACCAATATCAGATCATACAATATCGGGTTAGCAAGGAGTTCCAGTGGTCCAAATAAATCTTGCCACCAATACATAAAGTTTATCATTAATTTCCCGAACAAGCATCAATAAAAACAAGACATGGAGTATCTCTTCAGCTCATTCATTTTCTTTGGCTGAATAATCCCATTCATGTAAAAGTGAATAGTCAGAAAAGAATGAATCAGCATAAGAGTAGTTACTCATAATAATCAATACACATATGAGAAAAGGAATAAGGGTGACAAGATTACGTAATGAGACAAATAATTTAGTACGTCAGTAGTAACAGCACGGGGTATTTATAAAAAAAAAGAGGTTTTTTGTCACCTAAGACTTCGGGAGGATAGATGAGTCAGAAAAGGTCAAAGGAATAAAATAAGTAAAACGGTCAGGTGGAAAATAAACAGGGTCTTTACTACCATGATAATAAAAAAGTGGATGCACAACTCCAGTTTCCCAATCTGGATAACTAGAGCTTCAGAAGCGCAAAAGAGACGAAAGCAAATTGTCTTAGGAAAGTTACTTTCACTTCGTACTTCACCTTGAAGAAGGAGTTTGTTGAGATAGAGTCTCCAATATTGACAAGGTGTTCGATTGTTACACTGCTTAAAGAATCGCTGTTACCACTCAGGATAATGTTTTTGAAGCCTTTTAGACAAGATCCACGTTGAACGATCAATATACCTGGCTCCACAAGAACAAGTGAACTGATATATATATTCACACAGAAGCGGCCTGACACGAGATTTTGTTGTCTTTTGACCTTCTAAAGACAAGTGAACGACTGCAGAACACCCCTCTCTTAGCGTTTCTGAGAAGAATGTTCTACTGCAATTCCTCTTTCAGGACATCAGGACTGAAGATTTGTAGAAGACAACGACTGACTGACGTCCAATTGATATCCAGGTGTAGAAACTTGTCAGTTAGGCGTTCCATATGGATTTCCAGTGGATGGACCCTCTCAAAGTTCTGTCGGCTCTTCTTATAAGTTCAACATCAAGAAGAGAAACTTTAGATTCATTTTCTATTTCAAGGATGAACTTTGTTGCTGGGTGTCAGCTATTGAATATCTGTAAAAATTGATTAATATCATAACTATCCTCTTTATGCAAGACGGATATTCCCCCAAGACTTATAGATAAGAACCTCAAGCAGAAAATTCAAAGACATGGAAGGTACCCCCTTGTTAATAGTTAACTTCCTTACCAACTCACTACACTTTACGACATAATTTTCTAGATTTGCTTTACACTTATACCTAGTCTTACTGTACTTGCTTGGCAGTACAGCAAGTACTTGGTTTTTCTTCATTTTTCGTTTACAATAGCAGTTACTCCCCCCGTCACCCCTCGGTTAAATTGAGTATCATCCTTAACTATTTTGCCTTTGTGTTCTGAGTGGGACATAAGGCTTCGTATGTTTGAAGTTTTAGGAGCGCATGGAGGGGGATGCTGATTTTTATGAGGGTTGGGTTGCTAGCCTTACTCTCAGCCATCCTTCTACTCGGAGATTACCACCGGCAAGGTTCAGGAGTGCATCGATCGGAAGTCGAACCGGGATCTGTAACATGGTTGGTGAACATTCCACTATTGAGTACCACAGACGCAACTTAAGGAATTCATCAAGTTTCATATCATTTTTATTAGGGACTCTTCATCAATACACTCTGTTCAGGTAGGTTCTAGTGTGAAGTTTTGACCAGTGAGGTACACAGCAGGTCGAGCGTGAGGATAAATACTCGCCACGGATGACATAGGCTAGTAGTAGCGCTGTATCACGCGTGAATAGGCAGAAGCTGAAATTCATGGGCCGGCCATTGGGTCGGGTTCCAGTAGATTAATGGTCTACGAGCTCGCTAGCCTTGTAACCGGAAAGTCCTGGTTTCGAAACCCGCTGGGTGCGTACTGACGAAGAGTCCCAAACTAGAACAAAACAGCTATCCAGTACTCCCAGATGGTTCTCCAATGATCCTCTTAACCGATATCAACTCATGATGAAACCCTGTACGCAATGAAATATCTGAAAACCAACACTTAAATAAAATGAATGAGTTTTATTTGGCTTAGAACAACTACGGGGAACTTCCTGAAATGATGGTATCTTAATCCGAACTACTTTATCATATGTATCATCATCCACCTCTTACGACTTTGGTGTTTCGATATGCTGACTATAAAAGTTGTGACGAAGGTTTGCGAACTCATCAGTAGTAAAGTTAAAAAGTCTGATAACAATTCACTTTTATTTGGTTAATGGTGGCTAGCAGTCGAATCTAGGACTCGCGTCTCATCCTGTTTGGAATTTGTCATCTGGATGAACCTAAATCCCCTGTAAGTGATAACGTCCCCACTAACTGACCCATAACAGCAGCACTCTAGATATACATGTTGTTGAAATTCGAAAGCAAGAGTTTTCTCATACATTGTAAACTGATTGCCGAGAGATTTGGTTTCATCAATCTCAGTCGCCAATCGGCTTATTAACTGACAAACCTTCATTATCAAGTGAACAAATACTCGAGGAGAGTCAATTATCCGAAAATATCCTACCTCAACAATCTTCATACACACACACACACACACACACGCATACACACCCCACTACACATACGAATGAACACATTGTCCTTAATACTTGTCTATTAGTGGGTAGAGCAGAATTTTCGCTGTACAATGAAAATTCTAAATGGCAAATAATAACCATACATTCAAAACCAGTACTACTTTGTTTGATAGCATGCAGATGAGAATCGTCAACATCAACAGTCTTTGGTATTATTTATCGAAGTCGAATTTCCCGATAGTCAAAGAACCTCGATCGAAACTAAGCAAAACAACATAAGACACAAAACTCAGATTAAGTATTCGTTTGTAGGCTATTGACTGATTGGTTACAGGATTTCATCATGAACTGACATGGGTTAGAGAACCATTGGAAAAACTGGGAGTGCTGGACAGCAGTTTGGCCCTAGTTTGAGACTCTGCATCAGTACGGACCCACCGAGTTTCGAAACCAGGACCTTCTGGTTACAAGACTAGTGAGCTCGTAGACCATTAAACCACTAGGACCCGATCCAATGACCAGCCCATGAATTCCAACTTCTGCCAATTCACGCATGATAATAATAATAATAATAATTGCTTTATTCCAAAAACAGTACTCATGATACAGCAAGGAATTTTCAGCATTCAGTACAATATTGCATCTAATTTACCCAAAAACGACAAAAAAAAATTAAAAATACACAATACATAATAGTAATAAAACGATTGTTGTAGCAGCTACGTAGCAAAATACTGTGTGCCATACGGAGAAAAATATGTATAAAGTACAAAATTGTAGTAATAATAGTAATAATATAGCCAATGTCATCCCTGGCGAGTATTTGTCCTCACACCCGACCTGTTGTACCCGGTGGGTGCGTACTGACGACGAGTTCCAAACTAGGACGAAATAGCTGGCCAGTACTCTCAGGTTTCCTGGTGGTTCTCTAACTGATGTTAGCTCATCACCAAATCATGGCATTTTTTCCCAGTACACTCTCAAACGACTATTTGTCAACACATCACAAATGAATTTTCTTTCTTAAATCATCCAATAAAAATGAGAATTTCTTCAACTTACTTGGTGTATGAACAATCAAGTGTGTGGTTTTTTCACTCAGTGTACCTTGATTATCAACTTCACCGCCTAATCTTTCTACAATCTCTGTATAGTGGTCTCGTTCGTCAGACGGTAAACCAGTGAAGGATATCACATAAGATGGTTTAGGTGGTGAAGGGACAGGTTGTTGTTGAAAAGGAGGTCTTATTGATACGGAGGAATTATCTGGTCTGCAGGACGAGAGAGAAAAAAGAAAGAAAAGAAACCGATGGACAAAAGTTTTCAATTGTTTCAGAAGAATACGTGGGTAATTTTTGGCATAAAAATGATTAGAAATATTTACATTCTGACTCGACATTATTATAGCCAATGAAACACACTTGTTTATCGATTGTCTCTATTTCAATGAATCCTCAATATCATATGTGATTAGCAGAAGATATCGGATTATAAAGGATAAAGTTTAGTGGTCAGTTCACAGAATGCAATAAAAATGAATGAGAGGAAAGAGATCCATTCATCTATGCCGGTGATCTTGTTTGAAGCAATGAGTGGAATATGTACGTATCTCAAAATGAACTTAATAATTCGTGATCAGTGCTAATGGATCTCGGGTCGTGAATCCCTCTCTTCATCTACTTCAGTAATGGCAACTCGTAATTTAGTAGCAGTAGTATGACCGACCCGTCGTCATACAGTAAGGAGTGTGGTGACAGCTGTCTAGTATCCAAAATTGGTAGACAGCAATTTACGTCAATGTTTACGTCCCAAATCTTCGTCATGAGAAAAAACAAGAACAAAGCCGAACCTTGAGGAACTCAACAACCAATCACAGCAAACTTAGCATGGGCGGATACGATTAGCAGATATATAAATCAACGGACTGTCTAAGAAACGGAAACAAAGAGACAGAATAATCTTCAGCAAGAAAACAACCAATCAGAAGACGCTACTTCTCTGCTAACAATAACGCTAATAATAATGTACATAAAAGCCTATAAATATCTCTTGATTTTCTCAATAAACGATCTGTTGCTTGGCCCTTGTCTTCTGTCGTTACAACGGTAGTACACTTGGGTTGGGAACAAGATTAGTCTGTTTCGAGTAACTGCATGGATCACCTACATGACTGAAGATCTCATACCGGTCGTCGTAGATTACTACAGATTTATAAGCTAGGAGTAAAAAATCTGTTCAGCGTTTACCGATCTACATGTTTCCTCAACGCTGTATATGTTCTACACAGGCAGTTGTCTTTAGCCTTGCTTAGTTTACTCACTGGGTCTTATACAGAAGAAGAAGAATGGAAGTTGGACATATGGCTAGAGCAACCTCTCTACCATGCAGCCACCTTCTCTGCCTATCAGTAAGGAAACTTCAAAGAATAGAGGAAATAAAGTCAATCTCTGCTGGAGTCACGATGACTACTTTGTTTGGGGATGGATAACGTCGGGTGGTGAAAGCTATTATTTGGAAGTTAGTTGGCCAATGAAAGTATAATGCTGAACGACTGGTTTTAACATAGAACTTTGCACCGGTGTTCAGCAGTTCGAGTCGCCACACTCCCTCCATGTAGCACACAAAGCAAGAGAAGAAAGTAGAAAAAATGCAAAATAGAGACAGCAAACAGGGTTATGAGACAAAAAGAAGAGTAGTACAGAAGAACAGTGCTTTTATTCTATATGATTAGTCACAAAAACTGAATGCATCTGCCCCATTGAGAACAATTTTAAGCCATATCACTAATTGTCTCCAGCCGCCAATGGTTTTACCATCCCGAGGATGCCAACCAGGAAGTCTCCACCTCCCTAATTAACTGGGTTAAATTAAATGTTGCAGATTTCATTGACAGATAAGGCCATGTTTTGGTTTGACCACCATGTACTAGCTCTTTTCCAACCTGACTCTATGTCAGCTAACATTGCCCGTCGAAGAAGACGATGGCTAGGCATACGTAACACATGTCCTAACCACCTCAGTCGGTGTAGCTTCACAGCCTTGTCGATTGATTTCCCACCTCCCCACCTATTTAGCACTCGACGCCCAACCTCAATATTGGTCACCTTATTATACCACCACCTAACATAGGAGATAGAACGCAGGCACCTATGATCAAAGACAGCTAACCACGCTTTTCATGTCTTCCACTCTCAATGGCCAGGTCTTGCTCACAGCCATAAAGGGGGTCAAGGCGGACTGGTGAGCAGTACACACGCCCTTTGGTCGAAAGCCAGCCAGAGACGGTGTAAACTGGAATATGGGAAACTAGCCCTCTGTATCCGTTCTGAGATTTCGTCAACGACCAACCCATTCCCGTTGGCTGTTGCAACTAACTTCCTAAATAAGTGAAGTGGTCAACACGCTCTACTAACCAATTCAATCCCTTTAAGCTAGGAGTCAATGTAGTCCAGTCTTGTAGCATCACCCTACATTTGACAGGGGCAAATCGCATGTCAAACATTCGAAGATTGCTTCTCAAGGTGTTCATAAGATTCTGCTCTATTTTGTCAGCGTCTTCACCTAGGAGCAGGACTATATCATCTGCGTATTCTAAGTCAACGAGATTATTCCCTGTTGGTAACAAGTCAATCCCTGAGTCGCTGAAGTCAGAATTTAGGGTTAATTCCATTTGTACATCTATGATGAAGCTGAATAGAAATGGGGACAGTGGGCATTCGTGATGCACACCCCTGGTTGCCGCTACTTCAGATGACAACCCGCCGTAAGCTTTCACCTGGCTGGTCGCATGAGTTCGATTCGAGTGCCTTAATCAGTGCCATGTATTTTCTTGGCATTCCCTTTATAACTAAGCATCGCCGTGGTACCTCTTGGTTGACAGAATCGAATTCCGCCTTTAGGTCAAGAAATACAACGATTGTTGGATGCCAGAAGGGTGAAGATATGATCAATACACCCTCTTCCTGGTCTTAAGCCTGCCTAGTTCTCTCGTGTTTGTGCCTTCCGAGCACCACTCAGTCTACGCATTATTATTGAGCCTAGGACTTTAGATACCACCATATTAGTCAAGCTGATTCCCATGTGATTATCACAGGAAGACTTGTATGCCTTTTTGTATATCGGGATAATCAATGACTTACACAAATCCGACGCCATTTCCTCTGATTCCCAGACGCTGCCTAGTACCTCAGTTAACCCAGACAGTAACACGTCTCCACCGTAACTAAATACCTCTGTAGTCATTCCATCAGGTCCTGCTGGGATATATAAAGTGTCCGCATCCTATTTGTAACTAAAAACGCTTCTGAGATGGTAGCAGAAATGTGAAGATATGGTGTATACAGGCTTCAGGATATGCAGATAATGCAAGAAGGAAAAGAAAGCTTGTGAGAGGAATCGTGCAATCAGCTGAAACTGATAACAGAGAGGGATGGGCTCCTCTCTTTGAAGTTGAAGTAAACAACTTGACAATGTCGACTCACCTGTGTGATAAGTTACCCTGGTTAAGGTTTTGTATTTCAATGTTCGGATTGAAAGTCAATGCGTCAGTATTATTTGTACTGCCACTAGTATTAGTATTAGTGGTAGTAGTACTAGTAGTAGTTTTACCAGGAGTATCATCATCATACTTCCATCGTACCTGTGAATAAAACAGAAAAGAAATGTCAATACCATCATTATCTTCAAAAAAAATAAAGGTTGAGAAAAAAAACCGCTTAGTATTTCTTAAACACAAAGAGAACACAACTAAACGAAATAGACTTGCAATACCTGTAGTATGTGGATTGATTCAGTTCAGAAGAGTTCATACGGACTTCTGTCTAGCTGCTTGAGCTAACCAGTAATACATAGAATCGAATTTGTCATTGGCAAAAATTACACAATTTTAGGTGAAGAATTCACATGACCATCATACTGTCATAGTGTGTTGAATGCTGCTTATAAGATTTGTCAGTAGTATATATACACAGAGATGTTCATCAGCAATAAAAAACATCAAATACCAGGGGGATACATTTGATGTCAGAGAAAGCAAGTGGTACAGCATTGTGGAGAATGATGGGAGATGTGAAAGAAACACAATACAAAGGAAGGCCAGAAGTACCACAACACGAAGATCTGTGCGCAAATGGTGCGTTGAAGATAACATATAAACATAATTTGGGAATACAGAGATACCGATTTCTAAATAAACATTCCTTTAATCTAGTTTTTCGTCTTCTACGGTTTCAATAACCTACCTGGACGTGGATGTATTGACCGTATCTTCACGCTTAGATAGCACTTAGAACATAGGCACATACTTACCGGCGTCTAAAACCTGATATATATTTCATCACTTGAAGGTAGCATTTGATTGCGTCGATCGAGTAGTACTGTGGCGACATGTAACCGTGAAAGGAAGGTTGATGATGTATATTCCACTAATTAATAAAGACATTCTGTTCGGTCTCATGCAGCCAGCTATGCAAGAGTCTGGATTGAATGCAACCAATGGTGTAAATAGCGTATGTCTTCACTTTTTATAATTTAATTTCATTATCTTAGAGGTACTTATCGATGTGACCCTGATCGACTTGGAAGTTGTCTCATTACCAATTAAAAATCTTAACAATTCATTCATCACATGGTTCAATTTCAGATATGATAAAAAAGATTTATAGCTGAGGTGGATGATTTTGATGTGGTTGTGTTCTCAGAGCTGGATAGTTAATTTGCGAAGCTTTCATTGCCCTACTTTCTAGGCAACATCCTCACTTCAGCGCAGACTTCAATTTAAAGTGGGCTTTAAGATTTCTCCACGAGTTTATTAGTCATCTCCCGTTGTGGGTGACCTTAAACGTGATTGGTTGTTTTTGTATGTTTTCACACCTTCTAGGTTACTCGTATTGGAACTGAGTGTTTCTTTGGCTTGAACTTTGACCCTTTGTGTATGAGGTCTCTTTCTTATCGGTTGATAAATTTTGTCTATCTCGATGTGTCTATTGATTGATGACTCACTGGAATACCAAGTGGGCTTCTAAAATTCTCTGACTAGCATTCTTGGTGCTTTCTCTGTCTAATATTTGAACGTTGGATGTCCCAGTCGAATTGATGGCCGTGGTTGTCTGTATTTATATTATGTCTTTTAATATCCACTCCCTCATACCACTCGCTGGAGAGAGACAACCACGGACATCAATTCGATTGGTACAGCCAACGTTTAAATATTAGACAGAGGAAACACCAAGAATGCTAGTCAGAGAATTTTTAGAAGCTCACCTGGTATTCCAGTGAATCATCAATCAACAGACACATTGAAATAGACAAAATTTATCAACCGATAAGAAAGAAACCTCATACACAAAGGGTCAAAAGTTCAAGTAAAAGAAACAACCAGCTCCAATACAAGTAACCTAGGTGAGAAAACACAAAAACAACCAGTCACGTTCAAAGTCACTGATATATATCCATATAATGTGTGTGTTTGTTTGACAGTCTGTTATATTTGCTATGTATATATGGATCGATATTCCATTATAATTAGCCAATCATGTTAAGACTGTCTATTGATTTGTTCATTTGGAATATTCGCTCACACACTTGTGTGACATTTTGATTCTCCTTGTGTTTGGAAAATAGAAGTATCATCGCAAACCTAGTGGTCTTCTGATTTCCGTCCTTCTTGCGTCAGGACTATTAAATTCTCGACCAGTACATAACAATAATTTGGCGACGAGTACATAACAGTCACCCACCACGAGAGATGACTAATAAACTCGTGGAGAAATCTTAAAGCCCACTTTAAATTGAAGTCTGCGCTGAAGTGAGGATGTTGCCTGGAAAGTAGGGCAATGAAAGCTTCGTAAATTAACTATCCAGCTCAGAGAACACAAGCACATCAAAATGGTTCACCTTCTCTTGTTATTTTAACTGATAACTTTGTACGCGAACTGCGCCTAATTCTGCAGGTGACTTTCGAACGTGATAAGCACATAATCGATATATACATAACTAAATGTTAAGTAGAACAGGTGCTTCTTGTACCAGAATAGGAGCCACACACACTTATTGAGTGAAAGCTAAGGATACTATACACTTTCCCAAACTGAAGTAGGAGCTGAAGCGGGAGTCAAATCAGCGACCAACTAACTGAAAACCACGTGCTTAAACCACCAACGAGACACAATCTTCACTACCGCACTAACACTATCAGGTTAGTATGCCTGCTTTGTCAATTATCATTTATGGTATCACAAATGACCCGTATATTGTGATTTGAATATTTTTTTTCAATTAGCAAAGAAATCTGTGATATGGCAAGTACTGGAGACCAGTAGGTATGACCACGTTCCAAAATCTGTCGAAGTGTACAATATATGATCACTACATCCTCGTCCAGGTATGATGGTCATGAATTCCCACGTGAAGTTGTGCAATTTGCCAATGACGAATATATATATATATATATATATATATATATATATATATCACAAGTTCGTCCAAATAGCTAGCCTGAACTTGCTTGGCTTGAATTAAAGTAAACTCTCTGAACTGAGTGTCTATCTGTATAGAACGCGGTGGTGAACTCTACTAAAATCGAGTGAAACAACCATACGGTGTTTAGGTCATATCGATTTGGTCAATAGGCACTAACTGTTTCGTATGAGGGATTTCAACTAATCAAATCAAATTAGTAGTATGTACAATCAATCTAAACTTACTATACTGCCTTGAAATATAACAGTATATTGTTAGATAATAATCCTGTGACAATCCTACAACACATGCACTCTTTCTGTGTGTGTGTAAAAGCCACTTTGTATACAGAATTTAAGTGATGCGATTCGACAGTTCAACCTCGCCAAGTATATTAGCCAGTCCTAAGGCCGAGAAAAGAAGCAGAGTTGTAAGTGCGGCTAGATACCCTACTTCGGAAAATCAATCAAAGCGCTACAGAAACTTCAACGCACAAGACAGGGTTTCAGGTGAAGAACATAAAGAAGAGGGAGGTGATGAAAATAACCAACCACCACCACCAGCAACAACAACCAGCACCGATCACTATCAACAGGAAGAAACTTGAAAGAGGTCACTTCCTAAAATTACCTAGGAAGTATTGTTTCAACCACAAGGGGGACCTTCATCAATCTGAAATCGGCTTAGAAATCTAATGAACTCCACAGTATAATCAAAAAGACTAGGAGTTTCAACACTAATGTTAGGTCAGTAGGTTCTTCTATATGGGTCAGGGAATTGCACTGCGCATCAGGTGAGAGCTTACGGCGAGTTATCATCTGAAGTAGTGACAACTAGTGGTGTGCATCACGGATGCCCACTGTCACCATTTTTATTCAGTTTCATCAAGATGTACTAATGAAATTAACCTTAGAGACTCAGGGATTGGCTTGTTATCCCGGAATAATCCCGTTTACTTGTAGGTGGAGACGCTGATAAAATGTAGAGTTTTCTGAACACCTTGAGCTGCAATCTTTGAATGTTCGGCGTAAGATTCGCTCCCGCCAAATGTAAGATGATGCTACAGGACTAACTACATTGACTCCTAGCTTAGAAATAGGCAGGAGTGAAGTGGTTAGTGGAGCGTGTTAACCACTTGACTTATTTGAGAATTTCCATCAGCCAACGCCAACAGGTTGATCGCTGACAAAATCTCAGAACGGATACAGAAGGTTAGTTTCTCATATGCAAGTTTACGTCGTCTCTGGCATAGACGTGATATCCGACTGACTGTCGACCGAAGGCCATGTGTACTGCTCAGCAGTCCGCTCCATCCTTTATGGCTGGCTATGAGACCGGGCCGTTGAAGGTGAAAGACATGAAAAGCATAGCAAGCTGTTTTTGATCATAGGCGCCTGTGGTCTATCTCCTGTGTTAGGTTGTGGTGAGAGCAGGCTGCTAGCCAACTGGTAGACATTAATTTACGTCAGTGTCTAGGTCGCTTATATTGGTCGTTAGAAAATATGAACAAGACTGATTCAACAACCAATCAGAGCGGACTTAACGGGGGCACATATGATTCGCAGACATATGGCTTAACTTTTTGAGAAACCAGTCTCAAGCAGTACAGAATAACCTTGAGCAAGAAACAACCAATCAGAAGACTGTGTTTGTCTGCTGGAATAAGCTATAATAATGTACATGAAATACATATAAATACGTGCTGATTTCCTTAATAAACGATCTGCTGCCCGGCCCTTGTCTTCTGTTGTTACAAGGTGATGGTATAATAGGGTGAGCAGTATAGAGGTTAGGCGTCGAGTGCTAGGCTAAGAAAAATGAATCGATGAGGTGGTCGTGAGGTTACACCTGCTGAGGTGGTTAGGATATGCGTTACGCGTGCCTAATCATCGCCTTCCTCAACTGACGGGGAATGTTAGCTGACTGACATAGGATGGATCAGGTTGGAAAAGAGCTAGCACGTGGTGGTCAAACCAAAACATGGATTCATCAACCAATAAAGTCTACAACAGTTAATTTAAGCCAGTCAATTAGGAAGGTGTAGACTTCCTGACTGGATGGGGCCATCGGAACAGTAAAGCCAATGAAGGCTGGAGACAATCGGTGATATGGCTCAAACTCATCGTTCTCAATGATGGCTGGCGCACATGCATCCACTCCTTGTGACTTATAATACCCAATGAAACTATGTTGTTCTTCGTTATTACTATTCATTTTGTCTCATATCCCTGTCTACTGTCTCTATTTTGCATTTTTTTTTACTTTCTTCTCTGCTTTGTGTGCTGAGTAAAATGTGGCGACTTGAACTGCTGTATATCGGTGCAAAGTGCTATGCTGAAAACAGAGAGACAGAAAGGTCACAAAAATCAGTTCCAATAGGCCATTGTAGACTTTTATGAACAGCTGCCCTCATCACTGGCTCCATAATGAGGATCAAATGGGCAGAAAGTACGGGGGAAAAAAACTAATTACCTATTGTTCAACAAATATGTAGGAGGAAATAAGGATGGATTAGAAATATGCTGAGGAGACTGTCTAATGACGTCGCGTGCCACACCCTTAAGTGGAATCTGGATGGGAAACAAAGAGTAGCTTGTCCTAGAATGATATGGAGGAGATTGTGCAACAAAAAGATGAGAGACAACAGGTGGGCCTAGCTGAAGAGGACAGCAGAAAATATCTAAAAAAAGTGGAGATGTGTTGTTGAAGCTATGTTCCACTTAGAACCCAAGGGAACAATAACAACAATAATAATAATAACAATAATGATTCAACAGTTTGATTATCCGGACAAAGCCTTCACCGTATAAGGAACAATTGGGTGTAAGCTCATAATCTAAGCGTCAAGAATCGCAAATGACATCTGATACAAAACAATCCAAGTATTGCTTACCGTGATCATCTGGCCACCTTGCATTAAATCAATATTACCATTGGCATCAGAACTTTTTTTGTCATTATCATTATTATTCATATCATTATTATTATTATTATTATCATACATTGAATCATAAGAAGTATTATTAATATCTGCATGAGGTAAATTCGAGTATTTTCCACGACGTGGATTTCTTCGAATACGTCGTTGACCTATAGGAATAGTTGGAAATGGTGAATTCATGAAATCACCATTTTCCAAGCCATGATCTTGTACAAATTCATTTAATAAATCAGTATTTAATATTTGTTGATCAGTACCATTAATATTATTGTTATTGTTAGTTGTTGAGTGAACATTCTCTTTGATGACAGTGTCTGCAGTTCCATTTTGAGGGCAATTATTATTAGTCAGAAGGGATTTACACTTATTACCACCACCAATCATCATTTCAAGACGACGATTAACATCTCCAAGAAGATTCACTGAAGCTAAAAAGAAGCACAAAAACAATGAAAGAAAGAAAACATTAGGGGAAGTTGAGCATATATATATATGTCTCCCTTTTAGACAAATATGCTGGTACCACTATTGTAAAAAGTTTGGAGGGAGGGGAAAATGACTACCGAGTGTAAGAAAGGCCACCTTGTCAAGTTACCAAAAAGGGAAACTTAGGTCTCTGTAAGAACTGGTATGGAATCATGCTGTTGTCTACGTAAAACAAAATACTGAGTTGTGTCATACTGGGGAGAATAAAAGATGCTCTCGATGCAGAACTCCTCTTGGAAAAAGTTTTATTCAGGAAAAGAAAATCATGTGTGGATTAAATTGCAACTCTATGCATCATAATCGAACAGAACAAAGAATGACAGTCAAACATGTACCTCAACTTCATCGACTTCGAAAAGGCATTCAACAGACAGCGTTGACTGCGAAGAGACTTGGAAACTGTTTCAACGCTACGGCGTGCCTCAAGTCTTTATCAATCTCATTCAACAGCTGGCTATATGACAATGTCAAATGTCAGGTGGTCCACAACGGGGAACTCAATGAGTCGTTAGAAGTGAACACGAGAGTAAGACAGCACTGTCTATTATCACTGATAATATTTTTAATTGTGGTCGACTAGATTATGCTTCAGATTGTGGGAAGTCAGAAGACAGGAATACTCTGCACTGATCGATAAGAAGACTCTGGAATGTCTGGATTTCGCAGATGACATATGTCTAGTGTCGAGCGAGCTTCAAGACTTACAGGCGATAACCAACAAACTGGCAAGAGTGGCTGACAGCGAAAACCGGACTCCTAGTGAACATAGAGAAGACGGAGGTAAAGAAGATAACCGGCCACCACCACCAGCAACAACAACCAGTGTAACAACAGAAGACAAGGGCCAGGCAACAGATCGTTTTATTATGAATATCAACACGTATTTATACATATTTCACATACATTATTATAGCTTATGCAAGTAGACAAGCGCAGTCATCTGATTGGTTGTTTATCAGAAGTTAGGCAGACAAACGCAGGCTTCTGATTGGTTGTTTCGAGATTCCTCGACAAATAGAGTTCTGTATCTGCGAATCATATTTTGCCACGTTAACTTTGCTGTGATTGGTTGTTGAATCAGCCTTGCTCATATTTTCTCACGGCCTGCTCTCGCCACACCAGCACCAATCACCATCAACGGGAGAGACTTAACAGAGGGCGCCTCCTTTACTTATCTAGGAAGCATCGTTTCAACTACAGGCCAGCGGACCGGATGAAGATGTCGAGGTCTTCAGAATCGGGAAGACAAGATACGTCTTCATCAACCTGAAACCAAATTGGAAATCTTCTGCACTACGCCTCAACACAAACAACGAAATTCGGACTATACTGGTCTAAATGCTTGGTCTCTGTTGCCATGTCGTTTCATTGTACGGGTGCTGTGATGACACCATGATATTAGGATGACCTTATTTTAACCGACGATAATTAACACATATTTCGTCCCCACATGGGACTCATCATCTGCATGTACCTAATAAGTATAATGGTTTTCTCACTGAGATTCGAAACATGGCAAGAATTGTTTCAAACGCCAAAGCCTTATCCAATGAGAACACTTTCACTCACTGGGATATAGAGATACATCGAAAAAAAATCAACAGATTACACAAATAAAAACAAAATTTAACAGAAAATACTGGTGAATGGATAATCTTACCAACTCGTGCTGTTTTCGCCTTAGGTTCTGCTGCAGGAGATGTGTTAACAGATGTTTTCCCGTCAAAACTAGTCGGAGGGAAATCATTCTCTGGTAGTCTTTTACCAGCTTCCATACAAGAAATTAACCATTTCGGACTGACAAGAAACTTTCCATCTTGTTTAGCAGCAGTAACATCAGCGTAAACAACAGACTGACCTGTTGTACCACCTGTGGTACCCGGTGTAGCTAGCATACCAGATATTGGTGTCGGTGGGCAACAGATTTCTTCTGGTGTGGTTTCAGAGATCATATGCGTACACATCTGAAGTATTATATACAAAAAAATAAAATATAAATAACGTGAAATGATAGGGATAGTTAGCCAACAATTTCTGCCATATATGTTTTTTTTCTTATTCCTTTACGTTCCCAGTGGAACATAGGGCTTCAAGCTATAGACCTAAAGTTTCGGTAACAGTGGTGTTCAACTATTTTACGGGATGGGATTGCTAGGCTCATGCGCCCAACCTTCCCTCTTTACCAGTCTTACTACTGGCTTAGCAAGGTAAAGGAGTGAGTCGTTCGGGGATCGAAGCCTATCTGTCCGTTTTCAACACAGAACTTCGCACCGATATACAGCAGTTCAAGTCGCCACACTTTACTCAGCACACAAAGCAGAGAAGAAAGTAAAAAAAAACGCAAAATAGAGACAGTAGACAGGGATATGAGACAAAATGAATGGTAATAACGAAGAACAACATAGTTTCATTGGGTATTATAAGTCACAAGGAGTGGAAGCATGTGCGCCAGCCATCATTGAGAACGATGAGTTTGAGCCATATCACCGATTGTCTCCAGCCTTCATTGGTTTTTATTGTCCCGAGGACCCAAACCGGTCAGGAAGTCTACATCTTCCTACGTGGCTAGCTTTTTTTGAGAAATTGGGTATCAAAGACACCTCTATATCATGCTGAAAAGACGTCGAAGAATATATATATATATATATATATATATATATATATATATATATATATATATAGTAGTAGTTTCTATGACCTGGATATCTATAAAACAGATACTTTAAGGAGATAAAAAGCCCATTCGTACGATTGTTAGACTACGAGGGTAGAGGGATCAGGTAAATTCGATTTGATAAATAAGGTATGGAGAATGTAAACATACAAGGTGGAAGGTCACACCTTACAGGTTGGGATGTAACCACGTACAACGTTATGTCAGAGTAGTAGAAGCAGTAGTCGTGACCGTACTTGATTGTTTTATAAACGCAGACACGAACATCAAACTGCTAGGGTTCCCGTCAGTTGAAGAGTTCAGTACCTCCTAGCTGCTTTTGACGATATATATGAGGTACTCACTAGACAGATAATTGAAAAGAAAAATTAGTCCATTCTTACCCCCCTGTGATATAATCTGTTCCGATAAGGTGTGTCAGTACTAAACTACTACTACTACTAATGCTTTTCATCTACACCCTTATTTCCGAGCACAGAACCGTCGTCCACAAAAGCATTTGAATCCATTAAACATAGTAAGAAGTAAGCATGCTAGCTAGGTACATGCCTCAAACTCAGTAGCCTAGTTGGTTTTGTGAAAAATCTTAGTTGAAGTTGATTCGCTTCACGTTACCTGGATCGATTTTTTTAATCCTGTAATTCATACAGTACTGGTTTTTTATGTGGTTATGTTCTCTGAGCTAGCTGGATAGTTAATTTGCAAAGCTTTCATCACCCTACTAGGCGACATCTTCAGCGCATCTAGGTAACCTAGAAGGTGTGAAAACACACAAAAATAACCAATCACGTCCAAGGTCACCAGGAGAGATGATTAATAAACTCGTGGAGAAATCTATAAGCTCACTTCCACAAATTGAAATATGCGCTGAAGATGTCGCCTAGTAGGGCGATGAAAGCTTTGCAAATTAACTATCCAGCTAGCTCAGAGAACACAACCACATCAAAATCATCCACCTGAGCTACAAATCTCTGTCTGTCTGTCTATTTTCGACATAGAACTTTGCACATATGTGCGGCAGTTCAAGTTTCCACACTCCCTCCATGTAGCACACAAAGCAAGAGAAGAAAGTAGAAGAAATGCATAATAGAGACAATATTGGGATAGCCAACTTTAACTTAAAATGATTTTATAGTTATTTTAAGAGTGAACTTATACTTTTCACAGAAATGCATACCTGAGAATTATATGTCCATTTAAAATCTCCGCCTAATCTTCTTACAATTCCATTCAGTTCCACTTGACGTGAACTTAAGTGTTTTGCTACACAGATTACTACGCCTTGTAGGCACAGTCCATTCCCTTCATCATCTAGATTCAAAAAGAAAAGACAAAAGTAAATAAATAAATAAATTTTTGTACAGAAACGCGTCTTGTGATTTAAGAATAAAACTTGGGCACTGCGGTGGTAGAATATAACTCCATTATTATCGATAAAATTTTATTTTGATAAAATCATACAGTGTTATACAGTAATATTAACTGATGATCATGTAGCGGTAAATAATTCCCCAAAACTATTGACCATAGGAATCCTCAGTGAACATCGGATGCTGACTCTTAGAGTTTAAGTCGACTTGTTTAACTGAAGGCTTTCGGTCAAGCATCCCCGTCGTGTCATGTGCACGATCACTAGCCAGTTAAGCGTTCGTCTAACAACTCATTTTGATCCCGAAATATATCGCGTAATTTGGACGATCAAATACTGTCTTTTGCTTTGCCTTTGGTACGCGAGATTGAAATACATTAGAAGTTGTCGGTATAAGGAGCTTGTGTTAATATACCCAGTACTGTGCACGAACGTCTATACCATCAGCCTCTAAAACCACATTTAGAACACAATTCATTAGTCTTCATGATCTCATATCAAGTCACTCACTCACATAACTTTCTTGCTTCATTTATATACATGTGTAAAAAGTGATGATTACTCATTTGAATAAAAAAAATCAATATTAGACATGCGTGAAATAGAAAGGAAGATAAAGTACATTCGAAAATAATATCAGTGTTATCAACAAAACACAATAAAATGTTTTTATAGAAAAATAAGTAAATAACTTGTGAGAATGTTATAATGTAAATTGAAATACACTTTAACACTATTTATTATCCTCAGATTTGACTGGTTGTAATAATATCTTTCATATCTCTGGTATTTGCGTTGAGACACTTCTCTATTTCGGATGTGTTGGGGTGTAGAACCGATGAACAAGGATTCAGTAATCAACCTCTCTCTCTCTCTTCACCTACCTATCTGACTTTTTAGAATGTTAACCCTGTCCCACCCTATCATGTGTTAATGCATGCAGTGCGATCGTTGAGTTTTTTTTCTAAATTACTTATCTTCGTGGGCTCAATCGTTCTAACCTTATCCATATTCTTATGCTCTGACAATCTGACTACCCCCGACCTACTGGTTCGACCTATGTAGTTGACTTAAATCAGTCATTACAAGGTACTTTGTAAATTATATTATTTTGTCCAATTGGGTCCACTGAGTCTTTTAGCCAACTTAGTGAATTTGTAGGTTTAAATGACACTCCAATTCTTGCTTTACTGAGAATCCTACGTAGAGTCTCAGATGTTTCCTCCCTGTTTATGTGGTGAATCTGTAGATCCCTTGTATTCTCTCTTATTTTATGTTATCATTATTAGTTTCCCCATTATTTTTATTTTGCTTTTGACCTTTCCTGATCTTCCTAATGAATAGGATAGAATAGTTGTTTGACACCAACGCCTCTTCTTCTATCTGTTTTATTTCATCATTAAAGTTTTTTGTCGTGCTACTTAGTGCTATTGCTCGGTTTGCTAGACAGGCATTTAACTAAGCCTGCCTTCACAGACAGTTAACGGATGAAATGAATGCGTTGGCTTTTTATAAACGCTAGTGTGCAGTCTACCTCCTTCTATTCGTTTTATTTTACAATCTAACATCATAGCTAATTCTCCTTGTTTATTTTCCGATTCAAATGTGAATTTTAATCCCTTTAATAGTGAGTTTACATGTGTCAAGAAGCTAAAGATATGTTCTGTTTTCCCATCCTATAACATTTTATTGATAACACTAAAATTGATTCCGAATATACTTTATCTTATCTTATATTGATTTTTATTCAAATGTCTAATCATCAATTTTTACTCACGTACAAAAATGAAGCCAGAAAGCTGTGTGAGTGAATGACTTCATATGAAATCATGAGCAGTAATAATTTGTGATCAAAACGTGTTTTCATCAGTAGCAAATATTACTACTGTATAACAACACTCTGTGTGTGACTTTATCAAAATGACATTTTATCCATAATAGAATTAAACGTGTTTTTCCCCATACAGAAATATGATTTGTACACATAAAATAATTACATTGGGCTTCACTCAAGTGTGCGGTTAATTCTAAGCACCATAAGCAGACGCCTCGCTGAGTTTTCCGTTGTGGATCACTTGACATGTGCGTTGTCGCACAGCTGTTGAATAAGATTGATGAATATTTGGGGTACGCCGCAGTACTCCAGTACTACGGGCACATGTCAAGTGATCCACAACGGAAAACTCAGTGAGGCTTTGGAGTAAACACAGGAGTCAGACAAGGGTGCTTACTATCACCAATGATATTCCTAAATGTGGTGGACTGGATTATGCGACAGACAGTGGGAAACGAGAAGACAGGAATATCCTGGACCGACTCGAAGAACCTAGAAGACCTGGATTTCGCGCGTGGATGATTTATGTTTGATGTCACACAAAATCGAAGACTTACAAGCGAAAACAGACCGACAAACTGGTCGAAGAAGCAGCCGGCGAAAACAGGACTCCAAGTGAACATAGACAAGACGGAGGTGATGAAAATAACCAACCAACAACAACAACGGCAGCAACATCCAGCGCCAATCACCATCAATGGGAGGGATTTGAAAGAGGTTACTTCATTCACTTATCATCTAGGGAGCATTGTCTCTCAACTAAAGGCAGTAGGAACAGACGAGGATGTCAAATCGAGTGAGAATCGGGAAGGCTAGAAACACATTCATCAACCAACCTGAAACCAATCTGGAAATCTTCGTCACCCAACTCAGCATCAACAACAAAATCCAGTCGGTTTTTCAATACAAACAACGTCAAGTCAGTTCTTCTATACAGATCAGAAACTTGTCGGGTGGGTCACAAAGAATATTTCCAACAGCCTATTGGAGAGCTTCATCAACCAACAACTGTCTTCGCTGGCTCTATACTGAAGATCAGATGGCCGGGCCGGAAAGAATCACCAACAAGGAACTATGGGAACAAACAAAACAAGAACCAATCGCCAACCAACAAATATGCAGGAGAAACAGGAGATGGATTGGACACTCACGGCTGAGGAGACCGCTGGGTGACATCACGCGTCAAGCTCTCGAGTGGAACCAGGCCGAAAGGGAAGCGGTGAGTAGGACGTCAGTGCAAGGGTGACATGGAGGAGATCGTGTGAAGAGGAGTTGAAACAGTATGGACTAACATGGATGCAGGTGAAAAGTACAGCAGAAGGAAGACAGAAGCAAGTGGAGACGTGCAGTTGAAGCCCTATGTTCCACTAGGAACTCAAGGGAGCAATAATAATAATAAGCAGAGGCAATTCATCCCTCAAAAGACATACAAGCTTTATATATATATATATATATATATACGACTTAGATATTTCGGATCTTACTCCTAATCGATCAACCTTCATCAAAACAACCAGTAACAGAACTGTCCGGTTATAAGTATTAATTGAAAAATATAGGGCTTCCTATTGGATAACGACACTGAAATATATACTTAAGAGACAGATAATACACAATAGCAGAGAGAAAAAAACAAAGCTACAGAGTGACATAGGGAACGGGTAAACAGTCTTCTAAAATGTTACTTCTTTGATAATAGAAAAACAACAAACGGACTACATCCCAATAGCCATACTGGCTTCAAATCTAAGGCCAATGGATTCATCCCTATTTGTAGCCTTTTGTGCTTTACGAAAACAGTCTGATAGCTGTCCAACAAAAGATGTGTCTATTATAAAGCAGTTTTTGCACTGTCCTAATGCTGGTGAGAATTCAGGTACTTGGAATGCACTTGTCATGTACTAGGTTATAAGTCAGGTATATTGTCTGAGGACTGATGATACCACAGAGTTGCCCAGGTTGGAGTAGGTGACCTCGGACTCGAAGCTCAGATACATTGACTGAAATCCACATTATGATGCAATAACACAATTATTCTTCATCTCATGTCATTATTTCATGGAGTGACTACGTTTCCACTTATTTTAAACAAACCTTGGGTCAATAAAAACAAAACTAAATAGTGTGAAAACCGTCGGTGGCCAACCACGTAAGTGGTCCGGGGTCGGATCCTTGGCTAACGCACTCATTTACCTCGCTAAGACAGTAATAAGGCTAGTAAAGCGAGAAGGTTGGACACATGAGGCTAGCAACTCCACCCGGTAAAAATAAACACCACTACTATCGAAACTTCAAGCCTCTAGCTTGAAGCCTTATGTTCCACAGGGGACGTAAAAGAATAAAAAAAGTGTGTTAGGGATGTGCTTTTGGGGTTGGAAAATTCAGAAGTTATTTAAATTGCCTTATTGAGATTTCGTATGTGAATTTCTCTTATAACCAGAATGTTAATCATTCAATAGCCAATAATGATCGGCCTGCGAAATTTGGGCTACCGACATCACATGATGAAAACTGCATACTAGTACCAAAAGTACTAATGCGGAATCAAGCTATAATCAAAATAAAATAAATAAATATTGACACATCTGGCATCTAGACCAATAGACCACAGCTTATGAACTGTTTTGATTGATTGTTATCATCTTTACACATAAGAATTACAAGGGCAATCTAATGACAATGACAAATAATTGGTCGACTATAGGAGTTCAAAATACAAAATCGGTGATTAATCAAGAAAGTTATATTACTATTCTAAAATTACTAGTCTGTCATTTCATTTTACGTACAGAGCGGGGCAGTTTGAGGTGGGGTGAGGTTGAGGTACCACCTGCAAAATTTAGGTCACTTCACTTATAAACAGGATAGATTTAATCGATAAATATGAATTAATTAGTGTAAGCAAACATCTGCATATATACATACCAGAATCATAGATAAATATATAATTAGTGATCCCTTAGCCTAGTCATATGTACATACTTAGTTGATGGAAGTAACATTTTGCAGCTGTTGTCACTAGTTTTGACTGGATACATACTTGTGTAAATGAAGACAACAACTTAACAATATTTTTTGCATATCGTAAAATATATCACACAACTGGTA